AATAAGCTTGTTTGTGGTCTTGTTTGGGGTTGGTTTAATGGTTGTTTTATTTCTCTTCCTGACTCTACCTGAAAGCTTGTTTGTGAGCATATTTGTGGTTAGTTTAATGGCTATTTTATTCCTCTTCCTAGCTCTACCAGTAAGCTTGTTTGTGGGATTGTTTGGGGTTGGTTTAATGGTTGTTTTGTTCCTCTTCCTGACTCTACCCGAAAGCTTGTTTGTGAGCCTATTTGTGGTTGGTTTGGTAGCTGTTTTGCTCATATTCTCAGCTCTACTCGTGAGTTTAAATGTATAGTTGGTATATTCTACAAAATCTAAAACTATTGGGTAGTTTATTTACACAAATCTAAAATGCATGATAGATAGAATATTGATTTGAGGCTTTATGTTCATTCACTATTATTGCTACGTGTTTTCCCATTTGTTGAGGCTCGGTTTTGACTCTTTGGAGTTAGATTAAGGCTAAAAATATTTCTCTGTTTTCCCCATATATTGAACTTGATTTAATTTAAATGATGATCTATTTTTCGGCTCTTGTGTTTGGCTTAGATTTAGATTTCTTCTCATTTCCTCTGGATGTGGTTCTTCTCCTTTATTTTTTTATGATTAAAGATGTTTAATTTGGGATTGGTTTTCCCCTTCATTGTTCCTGGCCGCAAATCTTAATGTGGTGAATTTTCACCTTTGCTGTGAAGGCTGGTTCATTGATTGGGTGAGCCGTACTTGGAGCACTTTCTAGCAATATGTTTGGGTTTCATTTTTAAAGTTTTATTCGCACATTCTGAAGCCGCCACATTCTGAAGCTTTATTCGTGAAGGTTTAAATTACATTTTGAGGCTCTTAAACCGCTTTTTGAGATTGAATCGGTTTTTTTTTAACGAGTTTTAAATGTCTTTAGGCCGATACACTTACGATTTCGATTTAAGCTTTACCGATTTGACTTTGTTTTAAAAGTGGTTGGCCTCTTTTCATTTGTTTTCTTTTCTTTGTCTTTAACAGTCAAATTAAAAATAAGAATTTCCGATTTAATTATTTACGAAAATGATTCATGGTCTTAAAGAAAAATATGAAGAAAAGAGAAAAGGTGAGAAAATTAAAAATGAAATTTGGTCTGCTGAGATGATAGAAACCTAAAGAGGAGATAGGATAACAAACCATTCACCATTCCTTTTGCATAAGAAAGATGAAATTGTAATTGGAAGAATAGTTGAGAGTTAGAAGAAAGTAAGAGTTTAAATGACGATTAGGGGCATGGATTGAAAGATCGGTAGACTTGCATTTAGGTCCCTTAAGCTTTGAATAAACTTAAACTCAATTGTTTTAATTAGGATTGAAGCACATTTCATAACCCTTTTGCCAAAATTATATGTTTACCCCTAGGTCTTAGGAGTCTGATAACGAGCTAAGCTTGATCTAAAGGCGTTCGAGGATTAGTGGAAAGACATTTAATTGAAAATAGACACTTTATAACACTTCAGACTCAAACTAACGAGTAGGTTTCCTATGTCTTAAGAGCACACCCTGAGAGAGTGTTCATCATCCTAATTTTCAAATGAACCTAAGAAGTCAGACATCTGATCTTAGTTCATAAGTTAATTAAGACACTAGACACGAGGGTGCGCTAGATTGTGGTTCATGACTGATTTAATTAAATCAAATAATGAAATTATTGTCTTAACTTGATCAAAAATAAAACCCAATGCTCTGGGATTTGAACTTGAATCTTACACTCAGATCCTCCTGACAATTGGGGACATTCTCAATATCACATATAAATCTCCTATTCTTGGTCTTTTACATGTGATATTATGTTTTGTTTTGTTTGTCTTTTTCCTACGATTTGTTGGTTTTCTCGAATTTTTCAGGTTGTGTTTTCTCCTGTTTACACAGCACATACTAGTTAAGCTTAAAGGAGCAGCAATTCTCTCAAATATACAGGTTTAATTTACATTACAGCATTTTATTTCACAACATGTGATATTGTTGTCCTAGTATGTTATGTTATTTCTTTCCTCTTTTATATCACATGTTTTATTTGCTTTGATACACACTATACCTTAGTATAAGACAAACCTAGTGGTTATATATAGGATTAACAACAAACCTGGAGGTGCTACAGCGAGGAGCTTGGAGCGAACATCTTGGGCAGCACAACGAGGAGAACAACTTAAAGGTGGATCTGTAATGGCAAAACAATTTCATATCATTGAACATTTTCCTTAGTTTAAATAACAACTCATAGGACTTCGAGGTAGTTTGTCTAGCGCAACGTAAACTCTCACATATCCTTTAGGTATTTTGTACAACCCTGTTATGCAATTATAAGTCCTAGCACTTTAGGATTCTGAGGTTACTGTACAGTACAGTGTAAATTCTCCTATTTTTTTAGGCTATTTGTACAATCATATATTGTGCAATTATAAGTCCTAAAGTGCAATTATAAGTCCTAAATTCCTAAATTCTAAATAAATTGCAGGATTCAACATCAAATAACCTCATTTCAAAGATGTAAAGCCGAACGATAGGATAATTGGGAGGTCACCAGGGTTCTTCCCAGATCTGTGATATCCCCTACTTTTCGCTCCTTTGGATTCCTTAAGATAATTGTTCCTATTTTGAGTCATTCTAATTTGATTTTCTCATGTCCAGTCGTGGAAACCTAAACTTTGAAATCTGGAAAGTAAAACCACTGATCTTAATCGAGAGTTTTCTTAAGTGATTTCGATCATTTAAGATGTAATTAACTATAGGAGCTTGCTTCTGTAGGGAACCTGGAACCCAAATAAAATAAACTCTATTAAAATTTTATGTTAGGTAGGGTAACTTGTTGGCCTTTTTATAAAATATTTCGCATACCAAAACGGATGTCACAAACTCTTTAGTTTAGGTGATTGAATTCCTATTACAAGTGATATATTTATTCTTTGGGATAAGTGTATTACTTTTAGTATTGTATTCAATCATCTAAACTATTTAAAATGTGAGACCCGTTTGGTCTCACCTATTTTAAAATTAAAATGTTACTTTTAAAAATTAAAAAGGTAATATTCATATTTAAATTATTTTCAAAATCACAAAACCATCACTTTTTCAAATTACGAAGTTGAAACGGCCGACAGTGGGCAACATTAACATTTCCTCTAGAGCCATCTTTTTCAGATCGTCATCCAAATCATGTTTGAAGTTCACAGGCCTGTCTGACAACCCTTTCGTTTCAGTAGGTTTTGAACTCTTAGCACCAATATTCTTTTCTTTTGAATTATGTAAATCCTTGGAACATCGCCCCCTCTTCAGCCTCTGTTGAATAATCTTTTGCAACCATTCTTCTAGAACATTCATTTTCTCCTTAGAGACCTTTCCCATCAGAACAAAATCAAAGTAATGATGGATTTCTGAAAGTAAAGGGGAGGAGCACAAGGACAAAATTTTAGATACTTAATGTTCCGCAAGGACAAGCGTGACACTTAAAAATCACACAGGGAGTTAGCACAAAAAACTTTTATAACCACCAAAATTGATACCATTATTACTAATATTATCTTTTTATTATGACAAAATGACAGTGTATTGGCGGGCGAAGCAAATGTCCTCGTAGTATTGGCGAAGCAAATGTCCTTGTAGTATCTGATAATCCCAAAAACTTAGCATCAAAGCATCCTCTAAAATGGGTAAGTTTCCAACTTTTCACATTCTACTCCACCGCTTTTTAAGAGTGCACACCTCCTAAGTGACTGAAATGAGTCATATCTTTCGGAACAATATGCGATTTTGCCCTCGACAAGGAAAAATCTGCCTGAAACATCTACGAGTCATAATCCTTGAATGGGTTGCTTCCATCATCAAAATGTGAAGGATTATGAAGGAAAGATAGTCCAAATTTACCAAAGACTACTCGCAACTACTTCTTGCAGTCGTAGCTTTCGAGCCCCCGAAGAAGGAGCTTGACTTTAATGGTAAAATCATGTGACTACTCTTCAAAGCATAGAAAAAATAGTTTATGAGTGATGGAAGGCATCGCTTCGATCGAATAAGAGTAGATATGTCTCCAAACAAACCCAACAGAGCTGAACATTTGTTGCGACTTTCTTGTCCCTCTAGCCGCGTATAGAGGTAAATTATTCTCTTACCCTTTTACTCTCTTATTTTTCTTGCAGTATCCTATCAAAGAGCTAAGAGAATTAGGGAACTAAAAATATACCCAAAAATTAGTTTTTAGCAAATAGGAAAGCCTAAATACTATATTGACTTAATGGATCAAGCTCACCAGCTATGCATTTGGTGGTATGGCACTGACCAATCAATCATATTCATTAGTCGTACCTTTGGAAGTAACATCTTGCAAAGCTCCTTACTGTCCAGAAGGATGTTGCGAGTGCCTCCGAAGTATGTCACCATTCCAACAAGTTTCTCATAATAGGTCTACCCCATTTCAATCTTCAAGTGAGTCCTTCTGACCAAACTTACCTATATTATCTGAGTTTTTATTACATACTTGTACAAGTAGGTTGAGCTACCTGACTAGATCAACGAGCTCGGCAAGCAGCTCTCCGAGGAAGAGGGAAGGGAATTTTCACCTGTTATCATACATATCATCATTTATTAATAACATGACAATTCACATAAGCAATCTTCTCAATGTGCTTAAGTCCCCTACTACATAGCCTATAATCTAATTTTATGATTATTTTGTAGACTCCTGCAAGAGTACATAATCTACTGAGTATATAAATAAAAAGAGCTAAAATAAGGGGACGTTTTTTTTTTTTTTTCTACTCTCTCTCTCACCCTCTCTCTCAATCTTGCACTGCCAAAATACTCTAAAATCCCCCCCTTCATTTTACTCTGTTATCGCTCCCGAATTGTATGCGTTCACAAATTATATAGGACCTCGCGTCCCAAAAGAATTCAACAAGTATGAAATCGCCCTTCTAAATCCAAGGAAGAAAATAGAAGTGATGGTGGCACGGGAATGCAAAACAATTAAGGAATAAAAAACATACTCCCCATTCTTCCTCCATTCATAATTTCTCATATTAACTTCACATGAAAGAGTCCAGATTGCAACTGAGATAAAGTTCATCTGTTAAATATAGATATACCCAAAATAAGAAGTTGCATATACCAACTAAAAATCACATAAATGGGCAAATGGCATATAGAAGAAAGAATAAAAAAAAACTAGCAGGCACAGTTTAGACTTCGTAAATATAAAATCATAGGATAAGCAATTCAAAATAGGGCATTCAATTCTTATGTATTTACTTATCTAACACCTAAACTTTTATTTTTACATTCATAACGCTCAAATCTTTCTTCTCACATCGAAAATGCCGCTATGTTAACTTTTAAAAAGTTAAATGTGTCTTTTTTATGCATATATAAGGTGACATGAATGTAAAAATTGAAGTTTCGGTGTTAGCACAAAAATATATAAGAATTAAGTGGTATCCTTCTAAATATTGCTTCGAAAAGAATGATGATTTACCAGTGATACACCTCCAGAGCCAAGCTCGCACATTGTGTTCAGATTTACCTCAGCAATCAATAATCCTGTCACCACCTGCAGATTAACGTCACCAAGCAGTTACAAATATTCTCAACCAAGCAAACAATAGCTCATTTTCCGTTCATTCTCATGCAAACAGATGCCCATGAAAAAACTGTTTCATCAAATTTTACACACCGCTAATAGAAGAAAAGATTGCTAAATTTATGGTCAGAATCTTACCATATAAATCCAACAAAGGATGCATGTTATTGCGGAGGCCAGAAAGCCAGCTTCTTGTGTAACCGCAGGGATTGCTAGTATACCCGCGCCTACCTATAAACAGTAAACAACTTTGGGTACAAATTTGCTAGAAAACAACAAGACGTCCCTAAACAATGTGCTTCTCCTAAAATAAATATAGGTATATTTATATAATAGAACATTTTTTAATAAAAATTTAATGCGCAAGCAAGAAAAAAAAAGCATACCGTGGTTCCAGCCACCAGAAAGATGGCGCTGGTTATGCTGCCTGAAAAGCAACAGCAAGTCCAGCTCAATTCTTAATCTAGAAAAGGAAGAATGGAAACAAATGAATGGAATTAGAGATTGGAAGGTAAACCTGGCTCTCTTTTCATCGTTGCTTGGTTCAAATTCGAGAAGAGCCTTTCGAATTCTTCCGTGGCTTGTTTCCGAGAGAAGCATCTTAGGGTTTTCGGAGGAGAGTGATGGAAAGGAAATGATTTCGAAGAATTTTTGGACGGGAAAGATTTGATGGAAGGCAATGCAGGTCTTCTTTGCAAGTTGACTGATGGAGGTGAAATGAAAATGGAGGAAGCTGAGGCCGGATACATTTCTCCACCTCTCGTCTTCCTCGGCAACTAGTGATCGTCTGCAGATTTGAGAAGCCAAGCGGAACCACTAGTACATTTGGACGCTAACCGTGTGTGTGTGTGTGTTTTTTGTGTTCGAAAAACTTTGTTATTCGTATTTTAAATAGTTGGGTGGTACAGTGATAATATGCTGTATAAAAGTTTGATACACATTGAGAAGATAAAAATTAAAAAATAGAGACAATTAAAATTTTTATGTGAAAAATCTGAAAAGAAAAAAATCATTGAGTATAGCCCATCTGTAACAATTCATTGTGAGTTAGTGATTTCATGTACATGTCATTGTCCAACAGACAGGAAATGACACAGTTCTTCAATGTACAATATTGTTATATAATTGTTGCGAGTGATTGTAATTAGGAGTAGTCGTTAAAACTTGAGTGCACCGTCTTCAATGTGTTGATGCAAAACGTTCAAAACAATGCACACCTCCTTTAGCTGCTGCTTTTCTTTGTAATGTGTGACTTGATGTTCCAACATACATTGTGATTGCATGTGGTGCTTATTGCAAGCGGTGGGTGATTGTCGACGATGATCAGTGGTTGTAGGAGGATGAAGTGTTCATCGAGTATTGGAATTCAACTCATTCTTTGCAAACCAAATACAAACAAAGCTATTCTTCTTCTTTAAGTCCTAAGTCACTTTTCACAAAGGGAGTATGACTCTATTTATAAAGTTTAAGAGTGACATCCCTGCAAATAAGAAAGTAGTTCATACCACTTCATTGGATTATCTGAAGAGATTCACTCAATTTGGCAGTATTTTATGAACAGCAGAGTCTATCAACGATGTCAAAATTGAGCGATCTTGGGCTCGTTGGACTCATCTCGTTGAGACGCTTGTTTTATCCATAAACTTGTCAGATTTGAAATATGTTTGACCTTTAAACTTAGCACCATAAGCTTTAAAAAATGGCCAAATAACTCAATCAAGAATTAATTTGACTCAAATTTAACTAAATTTGGTATTATTGTGTAGTCTCCTCAAAATAGTCAATTTAGTTGTAAGTTTGTTGAAAACATATTTCTCGATAATTTATAATTTAAATTGGCCAAATAACTCAATCAAGACTTAATTTGACTCAAATTTAACTAAATTTGGTATTGTTGTGTAGTCTCCTCGAAATAGTCAATTTAGTTGTAAGTTTGTTGAAAAAAGATTTCTCGATAATTTATAATTTAAATTTGAACATTATTTGCTCAAAAACGGTTTTGAAATTCATGTTATATATATATATATATATACATAGACACACACCTAAATTAATGACAATACGGCCAAACCTTTAAACTACATATAAAATATCATTAGTATTAGTTTTTTTTAATTAAAATATGTCTTCACATGCATATATTTTTAACGCGATTGGACTACAAATTATTATATAATTAAATATCAAATTTTAAACTCTAAATTTATAAATATTTAAATTTTATATGATACATATCTCGCATGCGAATCCCACTTCTTTATTTATTTTTATATTAGTGAAAATATCATTTATACGTGATAACTTTATAAACGCACCTTTAAATAAAATGTCTGTAATTATATATATATTTTCTTAATCATTATGAGCATTATGCATGCCTCTTACCAAAGATAGAATATACTAAATATTGTTATAAGTTGCATATTTAATATGCAAAATCACTAAAACCTTGTAATTTACAAATTTAATATATAATTTCAATATTTACACAATCTATCACCTTCTTAATTCCATTAGCTCTATCACAATTTTGTTTTTTTATCTTATTGATAAGTTGCCCTAATGACATCATCCTAGCCTTCTAGGGTCTCTATAAGGTGTGATGGAATGTCAAAGGGAATTAGGGAAGTTGTATAAGTGGTAGTAAGAGTGGAAGGATGTGGGTCGAAAAAATAAGTGTATATGAGCTTGGAAAGCGAACTAGAGGCGGCAAAGTTTTGGAACTAGCAGTTGGAAGCACGTTCAATGGTTATCAGGCGGAGAACAATAAGAAAATGGTGAATCTGTGAGGTAAGTACATCAAGGGGGATACACCACATGTTCCAAGCAAGCTACATAGAATCCACTTGAAAAGGAAAAAGGTTATAACACTCCAAATGGGCAGGATTCAAAAAAAAGTCTATCAATTTCATTACAGCAGCAAATATTTCTCCCACTAAGTGGGGTCGGCTACATTAATCTTTTTTCTCCATTGCATCCTATTGAGTGTCATATTTTCATTTAAGTTTCATAGATAAGTTTTCATACAAAAGTCTATCAAATTCATAAATCATCCAAAACTTGAAATTAAAACAACGAAAAAGAAATATATAAAAGTTTCTTAATAAGAAATGACCTAAATCAGAAAATAATGGAAAAGGAAAGAAATGATAAAGGAATAAAAGATAAAAAAAAAAGGAAACAACTAAAATAGGAAGGCTTCCCTCGTTGTTAATCTTGTGATCATGAGAATCTCATAATCGCAGAATCAATTGAACTCGGATTTTTGCGCACGTGATGGTTGTGTCCCACGTCACTCCCCCTGGGTAGGAAAGGCTTCACCCTGTTCTCTAGAAATAGCCAGACCCTCCTATTATGTCGATAAATCGATAACATTAAAAATAAAATAAATATATTAGTCCTCTGATATGTCCATTTTGTAGGCGTTGTCATTAATTTTCTTAACAATCATGAATGGGCCATCATTTATAGGCTTGACCTATCCAAATGAACTTGCATGAAAACACTCCCAGTTCAGTTTAATCCATATTATGTCGCCTTCCTGGACTTGGTAGCCTATTTCTAATACTTAGAGTTTGCTTGACAATTTCATTCCTAGCCTGCTTGTGTAAGGTTTGATTGTTCTTAACTCAATCCTCTGTATCAGTGCTAAGCTGAATAAAGACTAATTTTGATACTAACTTCATGTGGGTAAGAGGATTTTCTTGTATACAATCTTAAAAGGGAAGGGATGTGATTAGTGAATTGACTAGTAGAGTGGTTGTATGCAAACTCTACTTGGGGAAAAATTTAACCTCACTGCCTGGTGAAGCATCTAAAAAGATTTTTCCATACAAACGTTCATAGACTCAGCCTATCCAACTATTTGAGGGTGAGATGTTGAACTAAACTCGAGCTTAGTGCCAAATCTGCACTCATAAAATTCTCTAAAAGTGACTGACAATTTCACATACTTGTTCGAAGAGATGTTTATGAGTATCCCATGACCACGAACAACCTCCTTAAGGTACAAAACTGTAATATTGCATTCATACATCGACTTATGAGAAGGAATAAAATGCGGCATCTTAGAAAAACAAACTACTACAACCATGATAAAATCCTTACTCTACTATGTTTGGGGTAAGCTCGCCACAAAATTCACACCTTGTCCAACCAAGTTGCCTCCATAACGGAAAGGGGATTGCAAAGACCTAAATTTTACCCTCAGATCTTTGCCAAGTGACATAACCTGCAATATCTAATATGTCTCTTCACATCTCATATCGATTTGGGCTAGTAAAAGTTCTCTTTTGCTATGGAGAGGGTCGTATCTATGGAAAAATGGCATGTCAACCCTCACTGTGATCCTCCTGCAAAATGTTCTATTGGAGTGAACTCTGAAGAATGCAACATGTGTTCTTAAAGAATATGTATTTGTCATATTTGTGGTATTGCTTACATGACCATCCTAACATCGCATCCAATTTTCATGGAAATTCTCGTCAGCTACATACAAGTCTTTTAGCACTTAAAATTCAATAAACTTAGACCATGTCACGGTGAGTAATAAGTGACAATGACTCAATGCAACAATTGCTTTGTTTTGACTTCCTGTTTTATATTTGAGTACAAAATGAAGAAAATAAATTTAACCCATGAGGTGTGTTTGTCATTTAGCTTATTATGAATATTCAATAATATAAAAGAATGAAAAAGACTCAACACAAATGTTATAAGTGCTCTTCCTCTGGATTGTTGTGTATCGAGATGTATGATTGGCAATGCTTTTGTGTAGAAATGTTCAAACTATTCATCATCAACATATATACTACATTTTCACAGCTACGTCAATTTATGATGATGATGCACACCTTCCCATTTACAGTACAATGCGTATGAAAGATATTATGCCTAAGGCATGGATGATCCCTCTTAGGCTGGTTATAGAGAACTCATCAAACCACAAACATCTCACCATTACATGTATTTAGCTGACACTTCTCCCTACTCTCCTCTTATGGTCTTCACTTTCGACCTCCTCCATGACACGTTTGCACCATGCTTAATAACACATATTACTCTCCTGTTCAGACAGTTGGATGTAATATTCCAGTAACCATGATATTCAGACTACTTTTTTGCTGAAAAAAGTTTGGGGATATTAGTATGATCAATCCTCCTTTTATCATGTGTTGATTTCTCTTCACGACTGGTAGGTTTGGGTACTATATTTGGTGTGTTGTTGTCACACGATCTAGTTGTCAAATCCTACATGAAAGGTGGTGTGGAACTGACATTGTGATGTTATTTCTCCATCATCAAGTTGAGGGCTTGAACATCATGTAATGTATAATAGGGTTGTAACTAAATCACGTTTTTAATATAGACAATATAAATCCCTCAAGATAGCAGGCTATAGTGTTCTCCTCGAGCTCTATTAGCTATCACTTCAGCATAAGCTACTCGATTCATGTGTGTACTCCTTTATTGAAAGATATTTCTATTGTAAACGGTGGAGCCTCACTAACATGCCATATTTTCAATGTGCAGGTAGACACTTACATTGCATCTCCCTCGTCATATTGAACTATGTAGTAATTTTGCTTTTACCTTCATGCTGATGCAGCCGATTTAAATTTTATCACCATAAAGACACTATTTTTTAGCTTGATGGCAATTAGATTTACCCTCTTCTCAGTTGCAATATCGTTGTACTAAAAGACTCATTCCATCATATGGAGCTACTTAAACTCGTATGTATCCATGCTACCATAAAAAAAATTGATAAATCCACATTTGCTCACAAAATTCCCACCTCTCCCCCTGTACTGAATGTTGAATTGGACGGTTTCGACTACTTCACTTGAAGCTCTTGGTGGAAAGGGTTTTCTTCATCTCCTTCACTTGGGTTGTCATCGTTGTTGCTATGAGTGATTTTCCACGTGTTTTGTTCTTTCAATATCAATGATCCTCTGTTGCGATTGGATGATTTTACGTTGCATGTCATCCATGATAATTTTATAAGCATCTCATTGAGAGTTTCTCCTTGGTGGCATTTGTTCTGTCAACCACATTCGAGAAGTTTTGATACCAGCTTATATTGTTCTATAGTTCTTAAAAGATATGATGGAACACCGAAGGGTGTTAGGGAAGTTGTAGAGGAGGTAGCGGGAGTGGGAGGATGTAGGTCGATGAAAAATCAACATGCACGGGGTTGTGCAATGAACCAAGGGCAACAAAGCTGTGAATTTTTATTGTAACCAACAACTAGAAGGGTGTTCGACGACTGCCCGACATAGAACAATGAGCAAATAGTGAATCAACGAGGAAAGCATGTCAAGAGGGATCCATCATATGTTTCTAGGTAAGCTACATACATTACTTGAAAAGGAAAGATTTTATAACACTTGTGAGAGTAAGATTTAGAGAAAAGTTTTTCAATCATAAATTAACAAAAAGACTGAAATCCAAATAGCAAAAAAGAAATATATATAAATTCTTCATAATAAGAAATAACCTCAATAAAAAATAAAAAAGAAAAGCAACGGGAAATAATTAAAACAAAAAGAGAAACGATTGAAATAGGAAGGTTTCGCTAGCTGTCAAAATCGCGACCGCGGAGATTATGTATCTACGAGACAGGTCGAATGTAGCCGTCCGCGCTCATGATGGACCCGTGCCACCGAGAAAGCTCCACTCCACTTCTTATGTTGGTGTTAATGTGATGATGTCTTCCCTTAGTGATCACAATTTTATTTTACCCGTGTCAATGTCCATAATAATTCAAGGCAATTTACATAAACTTGTCCATATAAACTTGTGCTAAAAATTTGAGTGGTGTGTATATAAATATGAAAGCTTATGTATGACATATGTAAATTTATAAAATAATGTGTGAGATGCTTGTAAATGCCCCATTAAGAAATACATCTTTTTTTGCACTATTTGCATTAAAAATTATTCCATACGATGACCGCACGGACAATACAGTCACCCAATAAAAAACAATCATTCTCTTAAAAGCTATGAAAGTGGATCCATTTTAAAATTTTAAACGAGCCGAGCTTGAGAGAGTCCAGGCTTGGCTCGTGTTCGGCTCGTTCGAAATAGCTCGTGTTCGAAAGCGGCTCGTGTTCGAAATCGACTCGTGAACAACGTGTTCGTGTTTGGCTCGATTAAAATATTTGTGTTCGTGTTCGGCTTGAAATTGGCACGTTAAACTCGAAAGCGGCTCGTGTTCGAAATCGACTCGTGAACAACGTGTTCGTGTTTGGCTCGATTAAAATATTTGTGTTCGTGTTCGGCTTGAAATTGGCACGTTAAACTTTAATTAAGAAAAATAGATGTAAAGTGTGAGATTCGAACCTGGATCAAATATATACAAAAGAACGCACTAACCACATTGTCACATAAAGTGTTATGATTTAAACTTAGACATAAATATATATAATATATTATTATATAAATAATATATGTAATATATTATTATATAATTTTTTTATTTCGAGCTTAAACGAGCCGAACACGAGCGAACAAGAGTTGTTCATGTTCGGCCTGTTAATAATTCGAGCTTTAAAAATTTGTCTGTGTTCGACTCGTTTACTTAACGAACGAGCCGAATACGAGCTAGCTGTTCGCGAACAAAGATATTTTTTGACAGACCTATTTATTAAGTGGCTTAATGATTGGGGGGCTTAGGTGTACCGAATAAGCGCTCCCAGG